AAGTGAAAATGTGAAAACCACAACCATTCCATCGTATCGTTCTAGTCCAGAGGTCGGCAACCTAAAATGTTTAAAGAGCCATATAGGCCAGAAAAAAAACAAAAAACAAAGATGTCTGGAGCCGCAAAAAAATAAAAGCCTTCTATAAAACTTACAATGAAGGAAACACATGCTTTATGTATGTAGGAGACTGGACTGTCTCAGAATTGTTGATGTTATTCATTCCTTTGTTGTGTGTTCACAAACGCCCCTATAGAATTTATTTTGTAATTTCCTCGCTTGATTTTTTGTTTTGGTGCATTATTTTCGCTTTTCTTAGTGTCAGTGAAGTGATCATTAATTTCCGTTTTTCGGAGGCTGTCTTTGAACGCCTCTTGAGTCGAACGAGAATAGCGAATGCACAGAGTCGGACGCAGACGTGTCTGTCGAGACTGTTAAAAGCATAAATAAAGCGTATGTTTTAAAAAAAAACCAACACCACAGCTCTCCTTTTTCGGAGCTGCATCTATACCTATTTGAGCTATATTAGCCTACTATCAAAATCTTTTTCCATTTTCAAACATTTTTATAAAGCTCAAGGGCGTCACTAGATGTCGCTAAAGAGCCGCATGCGGCTCTGGAGCTGCATGTTGCCGACCCCCGTTCTAGTCTAAGCTGAATAAGCTCCTCCATCTTTGCTCAAATCACATAGCAGGAAAATGGATTCTGCCTTATCAACCAAGATTCTTGTTATCAATGTCCAGGGGGTCAAGCTTCTTTGATTGCTTTTTGTTTACTGCTTGCTGCATGTTCATCCATTTCTTTCTCTTACACAGAGTGAGTCTGTTCTTCATTTACTCCCACAAGGCTGAAAGGCAGGGGTGATGAAGCAGCTGTTGGCTGGCATGCTAAATGCAATGCACACGCGCGCACACGCACACACGCACACACACACACACACACACACACACACACACACACACACACACACACACACACACACACACGCTTAAACAGCTTTGTATGAGACTTGGCAGGCAGTAGCGTATGGCATTGTTCATCACAACTGCTCATCAGGATGGGCCTCTGTGATGTTTTTTTTTCTCCACATATATTTCTTGCTTTCTAATGCTACGCTTGACTTGTTTCACCCAATCCCCATGTTCAAATGCCTCACAATGACAGAAATCTGTTTTTATTTATCTCTTAAAACACCTTTCCACCAAGTGCTAGTGTTCACTTTGGTTCGCCATGTCATTAAACCCTAATCAGGCTTGTGTTTCCATTGCAGTGTTGATTAGCGGGATGTGATAGCTGTGTCGGCTACATGAATAGCATATCATAGCGGTAAGACACCATGTAACTCAATAAAAAAAATGCAGCATGGGGGCAAAGTGAAAAACACCAAGGCGTAAATTTTTCATAGTCCATCCATCCATCCAATATCCGAGCCGCTTATTCTCCTGAGGGTCGCGGGCATGCTGGAGGCTATCCCAGCCGTCTTTGGGCAATAGGTGGAGTACACCCTGAACTGGTTGCCAGCCAATCGCAGTCCTTTTACTCCGCAGTTTTTAAATGTTCTTACCTTTACACATGGAAACGACAACTCTCTGTTACACAATACATAGATAGCAGTGAATCTAACTACACAACAAACCACATGACTGCAACTCGAACCCAAACAAAAGGATTTGGAAAAGTAGTACGGATTACAAAACACACCCGCAACGGCTAAGTTTCGCCATAAAAACACATTTGTACACTGGGCGCTTGATATTAATAGCCGCTGGTCTCCATGTTATAACATGGGATACTTGCAAAGAAAGGGGTCACACAAATGGATTTTTACAAACTTTTCTTTACCTTTCACACCGGTAGACGCTCCCGCCTCCCACGCTCCAAAACAATGCCAAAGGCGGCTACTGTATTAGCATCCCAAAGCCTTTCTCAGTCACTCTCGTTGTCGCACGAGGTCAATTCGCCGACAAATCAGGCATCAGCGCACATAAGTCTGTGGCAGTGCAGCTTTTGGAAAGATGATTGTTGCGTATTTCGGAGACGCAGGGGATGCCGTCCGTTGCAATGGTGTGAGTCGGGAGTCAAACAAACAACTGAGAGACTGGGGTCGCGCTGCATAGATCGCCCTTTTTGTGGCATTTGTTTCCCTTTATGCTCATTAAACTCAACTCCCAGATTCTTATTTTCGATCTGCTATTTACTACATTCGCTCCTAGACAGCTGTGTATCGCTACGCATGAACACTTCTGATTTGTCTTTTACAGCCTGTGTGCGCACTCCAACCGTCAATGACTGACGAATATTCATCTGAGGGCAGACTTGACCAGTTTCATTGGTCAACTGTGACATGTTCTGCAATTTTACTGGTCAGATGTGACAAGACTATGGGTAAATCTATTGTCACATTAAAAGCCGCAGGGTTCAAAGTATGGCTATAGTCCAGAAAATACGGTAGTGAAATTGATCCTGGTGGTTTCTACCACATGGCTTACACCTGCACAGTTAAATCCCCAAGTACCCCCATCCCACCAAGCCCTTTTCAACACAACCGCTACAGTAGTTTCCCACCGTAACATTTAAAAACCACTTAAAGTATTTCCCCCATGCGACTCAGTCGACCAATCCACAGCCTGCTTTAGCCAAAATAGCAGTTTCAAGAGTGCATGAAAAGGACATACTTTAACTGGGAGGGGAGGGTGACATGCCGAGAAGAGGTGGGGGCAGTCACATTGTCAGAGGCAAAGAATAAGGAAAGGCAAATGCAGTGCTGATGTTGGCCCTGAGCCATGTTTGTGTCACTAACAGAAGTCTCCTTGTGTAACTGCCACCCCAGCCGCAGGCCCTTGCCTGACTCGCTCTCAGTTCGCATGCAGAACAGTCAAGGGGTGAATGGCAGGAATCTCGGTAGCAAAAAAGAAAAAGGATGTGTCAAGACAGCCCTGGGCTGGAAGAAAAATCACAAGTGGTAAAGGAGGTGGCCTCGATGGAAACAACTCATTTTTGGACTTCATAACGCAGGATGATCTGTTGATGTCTTAACGTGTGTGAGGGTATTCACTGGCTATGTGTTGGGAGGCAAAGGGGAAAATTATTTGCCTCACCTTTTTAAAAATGTCTTAAATAAATAGTGGACTGCAGAATACTCCCTAACACACAGGAAGTGTTTTACAAATTTGTTCATTTCATTTTCAAGACTTTGTCCCCAATGATCGAACACATGAAATGCTTCCCGAAGAAAAAATATTGGAATTGTAAATCGGAGCATGCAGCTCAGCGATGTCATTGATGAATAAATTCATTCACAGTACAAGAAGCATGCAAGCCAAATGCAACAAAAGTTCTTGTTGAGGACTGAGCACAGAACGAGTTGGCCCAGTTTGTAGCTGTACAAGGTACGCACTTATTTATTCTTAGTTCCTAACTCATTCAAGCCAATTGAGCAAATAAACCCAACGTTGCCCAGTTTACACCCATCCAAAAGGTGCTCCCCACCCACTTCCCAGTTGCTTCTGTAGCCTGCTAACATGCACTGTTTACACATGATAACAAAATGGTGACCAAATGGGAGCTGGGGTTTGTTTGGAAGCAACACCTTTTATTCATTAAGTTCAGTGACCGTTTTGACTAAATATTAATCCCAAAGGGAATATTTTAGCGAATTTAATGATGTTAAATTACTCATTTAGTGTGAGTTGCTTTAAAAGGGACAATGTTTCCAAGTTTAGAATAATGTCACTGTCATTCGTTTTTTCTTTTATTGATGGGGGAATAAAAGTGATTAAAATGGACAATCAGATTCTTTTTTTCAGGGGGGGGGGGGTTGAGGATTTTATTTCAATATCACCCAGTCATGACATCTTATGTGTTGCAAAGAGCATCTAAAATTATAATGAAGGACAACAGGGTCTCCTCTTCTCGCATCGACACTTACATGTCGCAGTCAAGTAGCACTGTGTCAGACTTAGGCCATTATTGATTCAGGATTTCTTTGTCTTCTGATCTCATTTCAACACTAGTCTGCATATAATCTTTCAGATGAACTGACCCAAATGGCACTAAAGTTCGTTTACAATCCCACCAAGAGCCGACTCTTTCTGCTCTCTCGGTCCAATTGTTTGGTGCGCACCAGGGTTAGAATGACGTATTCACCCTTGTTCTAACAAACCACACTCATAAGAAATCGCACCCAAATTCATTTGAAAGCCCATTATGAAGAAAATGCTGAAAACAAGAGCGGCCAGCTATGTCCTCTCATCCAACATCAGTGTCTGACCTCACCAATGTTCTCCTCGATGAATAAACCACATTTCCCACTGACACACTCCAAAACTTTGTTGAAAGCCTTCCAAGGAATGTAAAACCTTCCATAGCTGGAATTTCTTTTTTTTCACATCAGGCCTTCACACCTTTGTTGTTATTGTAAAGATGCAAGCAATTCAAATTCAGGTCCTTAGCACGTGAAATGATTTTTTTTTATCGGTGCATAAGAGGCAGCCATGGGCCAGACAGCAATAATTCCTTTTTTTCACCTTTTTTTTTAAATAACCAGGACTTTTGCTTTTAACACGCAATTTCAAGCAACTGTATTGTGACAAGAACATAAAAATGTGCTGACTCGCTGCGCCAAACCAAACTGAGCAGGCCAGTGTTTGCAGAGAAAAAACACTGACACTCACAGCACAGGTTTTATAGCTCGAGACAATCCCAGGCTCATTTTTCAACAGACTGGCCAGCACTTAAAAAGCGGAATTGCTCCAAGTCTCTCGATTCCAATGGTTCCCAGCCGCACAATATCTCAAAATACGAGGTTGTTTCATTTTCGACTCACCAAAATGATGTTGAACAAGAGCACCGCTGAGTCACAAAAACATTTGCACCAACACAAATCATTGTAAAAAAATAAAAACCAAAACTACTTTTAAACAACTCAGACACTTGGATTCTTCACTCATTATCAAACCAAACTGAATTTGTTTCTCGCCGTGATACAAAGGTGCACTTACCGTCTTCGGTTTCCTGCCACACAATGCCTTCGAGATTGACACTTGTACCGGGTTCACAGGGTCCTAAGCACTCGGGTTCCGTGGATAGGGCCACATCGGATGTGTTCACTGCTACTGAACGTGTACGCACCATTATCTGTTCACATGGCGAGGCAATCTCACTGTTGCCTACTGCAGCCAAAAGATGCAGAGGGGGAGGGACTGGTGTTGAGACAGGCGATTCCATCTGCAAGGGGGGAAAAAAATTGTGTTTAGAGCAACCCATGAGAAAATGATGAACCATGATGTAAACACATCCAGAGATGATGCTTCGATATACCCAAGGAATGCCACAGTTAGCGGATGTGAAAATTGTGCATGGATGACACTGTGGTATGTAATGTGGTCAGTAATGAGGAGTTAAAGCGGCAATATCATCCAACTATAGAGCTGAAGAGCATTAAGAGGAGGCTGAGAGTGCCTTTGTAATGCAGGTTTGGTCCAATACGCCTTCCCTGACACACAGGCGAGTGTGACCCATGCCGGCAGTCATCTCGCAGAGTGATCACTCATTAAATCCCTCACTTAAAACGCTAGTTGTGGTGAGGCCGCTGGGTGCACAGGGTCAGGAATTGATTCCACCTGCTCTGACACTGTGACAGCAATGAAGAGACAGTCGGCCTACGTGGAGAAGGAAAAGGACAGGAAGGGAGGAGCGAGTCATCGGGGAGCAACTGATGGAGTGCACTGGCGCTAGTCAAGTGTGTGGGTGGAGGGAAGCGAGACAGGAAGACAAGTGGTGATTTAACAGCTAGAGTGACACGAGGCTGGGGATACATTGAGACCACTTTTTTTTTTCCAGACAGAGTAAGTGTACAACTATTTTGAGCACACGCCAATAATGAGTACCGATACTTGAATATGCGCGATCACTGTTTTTCCCCAACAATATTATTACCCATAACTTCCTGCTTCTCCAAACACACACACACACACACACACACACACACACACACACACACACACACACACACACACACAGCCAGATTTCAGAGCCAAGCCCAATGACATCTTAATGACTGTGGAACAGTTTCTGATGCATTATGTGGAGCGATGAGTTTATGAGACAAGAAATCCTGCCAGATGAGAGCTCTGTGGCGCTGGTCCACCAAATAAGATTCACCCCAAGATATCTTTCTTGAAAATAAGGAGAACAAATACATTTTGCTATACCATTAATTTTGCTCTTTATCAGAGTAGTTTGCGATCCAAGTTTGGGTTCTGAACCAGCACTACGATCCAAAACAAGGTCAGAAAGTTAACTTCTGAATGGGTTATAAAAACAAAAGAAAAGGGAGAAAAAAACGGCCTTCATCGTTGCTGCAAGGAAAAGCGGGCCAAAATACCTTCACAGAGATGTAAACGACTTATTACCAGTTATAGAAAATGCTTAATGTCAGGTGTTGCTGCTGAGGGTGGCCCAACCTGTTGTGAGGTTTAGGGGGCAAGTACTTTTTCAGACAGAGCCAAGTAATTTAGAATACGGTAGTTTCTTTTTCCTTCATAAACAAGATTACCATTACAAATCTGTATTTTTACTTGCCGCAGCTTTGCCTGATATTTAAATTCCTTATTTTTCTTTGAAGAGAGGAAAATACTTCACGGCACTGTAGTTAGTTTCCGTTCTATTATTCAATTATTTCACACAGATTTTGTTCACAGATACAGTATGATGTGATGCAAAGGACGAAAGCTAACGCAAGGATCCAAAAACTCATGCAAAATGCCAAGCGATCTTTCCCTTTTCACAAGATTTCACAAGTTCATTTTAAAAACTTCCCCAAACTGTATTGCTCGAGTGTCACACCAACATGTTCTTATTGAAACCCCAAACCATCGATCCACACTGGCAAGAGTAATATTTAACTGACTTACAAAGAGCCAGTGAAGTTTGTGTTGTTAGTGTGCAAACCACATTGTATTGGAAGAGAAACATGGGCAAGCTGTCTACATTGACTATAATTACACTATAACCTGCCCACAACGGGCCAATGTTGGCCCCATTAACTTCAGATTTATTTCGTTCATTACTCTGAAGACTCAGAAACGGATCGTGGACATTGATGTGGGCTACAAAACAATGATTTCTGAATTGTAACACATCAACTTTTTACTGGAGCAAATTGAATGAAGCAATGCTAACTAAACATGCTGAATAGCGAGGACCTGACCGATTCATCTGCCTTCTGAATATAGTGTGTGATTTTAGCCCTTCTACATTGGTATAAGAAATAAAAATAAATTAAAAAATCATGGGTAGATTTGCTGATGTGCCATGCTTGCCCCTTTCATGTACCCGAACCATTTACAATGCAGTACACATATACTCATTTCCTAAAATAAAACCACAGTAAAACTTTGACTTCTTTATGATGCGTGACATGTATCAGTTAAATACAGTCCCTTTGATGGTCCTGTTACCAATAACTCATGAATTTGGAATTGCGATGGTGAGCATGACAACTCGCGTGGAGGTATTGATTGAGATGTCACTCATTATTTTACACACAATCTAAAGTCATGGTTTGCTTGGAGGAGAAAAACAATAACACAAAATGTATAAATGTCTATAAATGTGGCACAATAAATGAACTTCAGGTAAAACAAAACAAAAACAGTCCAAAAGTACTGGAACAGCAAAGGCCTGTGTTGTTTTGTTTTTTATTTTATACTTAAGATATTTGGGTTTCAGATGAAAAGGTGACTATGAGACCAAAGTTCTGAATTGCAGCTGGGATGTCATGCTTTTTACAACTCAGGACAAAGAAACAATTGTTGGAACCCACCCAAGTGAGCACAAATATTACATGAGACGTTATTAAATGAATGCCATTCAATATTTGGTGAAATAACCAGAACTTGCAATGAGAGCATCAATCCAGCGACCCACACTGTTGCATTCTTCATTTGAAATACTTTTGCAGGCCTTTACTGTAGCCTCTTTCAATTCTTTTTTTTTTTTCCTGGTGGTTTCTCTCTTCAGTCACTTCTTCAGAAGCTCAAATGCGGGCTCTCTTGGGTTGAGGGTCAGTGATTTACTTGGCCAGTCTAAGACCTTCCACTTTTCATCATTGATGAATCAATAAAGGCTAGTGAGCCCGTTCCAGAAGCAGAAGCCATGAAAGCCCAAGCCATGACGTTTCCTCCACCATGCTTCATAGATAAGCTTGTGTTTTGGATCCTAAGCAGATCCTTTCTTTCTCTATACTTTGGCCTCTCCATCACTTTGGTCGAGGTTAATCTTCATCCCATCAGTCCATAAAACTTTGTGCCAAAACCTTTGTGGCTCACCACGACTTCAAGATCCAATCTGATTTTCAGATTCTTTTTACTGATGAATGGTTTGTATCATGTGTGTTTCTTTTCTCTCTCTGTCTTGTTCAAAGAATAGAGTTTGATATTTTCACCCCTGCCCCGTGGAGGTTGGCAGTGAGGCCACCGACTGTTGTCTTTGGGTGTTAAGTCACAGCTCTCACAACGCTTCTGTCATCAACTGCTATTGATACCCATGGCCGCCCTGTTTGATGTCTGTTGCTCAGTAACCGGTACTTTTCTTTTCAAGACATTCCATATGTTTTATTGGTTGTGCCCAATGTTTGTGTAATACCTCTGATCGATTTTTCCTCTTATCTCGACTTCAAAAGTTGTTGAGCTTCTCCCATAGATAGATCTCTGGTCTTCATGTTCACGTAACAGCAAATGCAGTTTCCATAGGTGAAACAAAGCCAAAAACAAGAACTATCTAATGATTAAGCATCCAATCGATCCAAAAGGCATCACTTGGGAAACCACAAATGCTCATCAGTCATATGTTCCAGTACTTTTGCTTCAAACAAAAGGTGCTCTGTCCTGAGTTGTTTAATCTAGATGTAAATGTCATGAAATTAACACTGGGCTTCTGAACTTTTGTCTCATATTCACCTTTTGATCTGAAACCCAAATGTCTGACAAAAACAAAGGGACTGTATATGACAAGAATTAATTTCATGATAGCTTCAATAATTCATTGCATTGTGCTATGCAATGCACTCTGGGAAACGAAGGGCTAACCCTAACCCTTATTGCCATCAATATGAAAAATAGGTCGATAATACAAGCAGAGTGAGGTTAAAGCTAGTACTGGCAAGATCCATGTTCATGGATGGCACATCACAAAAGCCAAAATATCAAAGAAGGATGTTTTGGTATTGAAAATGGGTTGAGAAATGAGAAAAATGTTTTCAATATACATGCCTTGCCTTTGATAAGAATTTATCTGCCACTCCTCACAGGTGCCCAAATGAATGGGTTAGCTGACAATTAATATCATCAAATTAATCAACAACTGTTTTGAAAAATGATTAATCATTTAGATCCATTGTCCATCTTAAAATAGTCAGGAAATGTATGAACCCATTGAAACATTAAAAAAAAAAAAAAGCTGACAGCTGTATGTACCTGACATGGTATATAATGCTTGCAAAATTTTGGCCACAATCTTTCACTATTTCACTCATGTGAAATTATAAATATGGTTAAGTATTGTTATAAAACACAATGCATACATATAACGATGGTAAGCAGTGCACTTCCCAGCATGACTTGATTCGGCGGGTGAAGATGAATTTATCCATGCTGGCGTTGGACAATGGTGGGCTGTGTGCTCAACTTCGCCACACCGATGGCTGAGAGGGAGGTGTCCCTGGCTGGCGGCTTCCTTCATTTCAAACATCGGTGTGGGGACTTAGGCCCATTGCTAGCCATTGCCCGGCGCCAGCACAGAGAAGTCCATCTCCCAAAGCAATATCAAAGTTTGCAAGCAAGTGGTTACAATATACTTACTTCATAAACTGCATTTGGGTGGCTTGGTGGCAGGCGACAGCACAAACAGGGCCGAATCCACAAAGAATGAACTGCGGCCGCTGATGGCGCTTTAAATTGCTCTTCATTTGCACCCGCAGTTTGCTACGTCTTAAAGTCGTATTCACAAAGGATAGTGGGCAATTGACATAGTAGCGCAAACGCATCCACAAAGCTTGACAGCTGAGTGCAGTTTGCACCTGTTTCCCCCCGACTGCACACATGGCAAAGTATAAATGCAGGCTTTGCACCGAGAGCACAGCGGCAGAACAATAGTAGTTAGGAAGAGACTCTTTCAGTCACAACTCAAACTGCACCTGTTTAATACTGCCTACTCAACCTGTCAAT